TAGCATGTCATTTGTTACACGATATATATATATATATATATATATATATATACCTACTTGCGGACAAGCATGGTGCCGACGCCAAAACAATAACGATAAAGATACGGGGGGGGGATTGGGACACAGAACATAGGAAAAAGATGGAACTGTTAAAATGGGAAATAGTAAATGAAGCGAGGTCTTAAACAAATTATATTACCTCTTGTATTACACATCTTAGTGTGAACAGCAAATGGGAAAGCCCCGTGGTCACGAGGACCTACTATTCAGTGGTGGAAACCGGTAACCTGGGCCCCGGGACTTGGAGTGGAGAACCACATAAGGCTTCACTAGGTTAAACATGGTATTTAACCGGACGAAAACAAAGCTATCTACCTAACGTCTCGATGGGTACTTAAGGGCGATTGGCAAGGTGATTCAGTATTACTCAAGCGATCAGCCAGATATAAACGAAAACGTTTAGGNATTACCAGATAGAATGAATCCAAACCGGCTGGTGGCAATACATGCGTCTAATGGATTCCGGCAATAATTATACATAACAACCAGTTGATCATGTGCATAGAATTGTTCTAGTTAAACGAACTCCTCACCCGTCAAGGGATCTTTCATCACCGAGGCAGTTAAACCAACACCGGAGCTACCGCGACCAGTGGTGTATTGCGAACGGGTGCTCAAACGGTCCACGAATCCGAGAAGCTGAGACTTCGCCACACCAGGATCACCCATCAAACAAATGTTTATGTTTCCACGAATTCGCAGTCCCGATTTTGGAGCCAGCTCAACACCGCCAACGAGCAGGAGAAGCAAAGCTTTTTTCACATCCTCATGACCGTAAATTTCCGGGGCTAGCGATTGTGCCATGAGCGAGTACATTTCAGGATCTATAAGGAAAATGAACCGTATAAATCAGTCCAGATCAAATGGGAAAAACATTCCCCACGGCAGAATAACTCACCCCGTAGGCGTTCCACTTCATCTTCAGTTGGTTCACTAGTTTCCGTCAGGTCATCAGTTTTACTAAGCAGTTGGACGGAATGTGCCTCGAGGAACGTTTCGGCCAACAGCCCACCACTGGCGCTATTCACTGCCATTGCGGCGCGTCCTCCTTGACTGCCACCAGAAAAGCCGGCACCTTTGAGACTGGGTAAAAAGACTCCGGTAACCAAAACATGGTCGCCAGGTACAGCTGATCGTGTGTTTTCGCCGCGCAAATAAACTGTAAGCCCTCGAGGAATATGGCCAACAGGTACCTACGAGGTGCATAGTTTGGATAAACGAAAGGTATGCATGACACTCATAATCACATGATTTATTGTATACATTCGTAGTTTACTTGCCACATGATTCAACAAAGCATTGATAGTGTTGGGACATAAAGACACTGTGAAATCACACCGAGTTTGATATTCAATCAAAGTTCAGCAGTGGAACAATGATGCTCAGCTGATCAATACTACCTCACTAAGGCACTATCTGGGTTGCCATTTTAGGCCTCGATGTTAAGGTTGCCAGTTTGCTTAATCCTGGGATTAGAGGATTTGTTCTTTCCACTAATCATTAAACCTGTTACGTGTGACAAGCTCTATTCGTTGAGCCGTTGAAAACCCAAGAACTTTGTTGGATCAAAATCGCTTCATTGTCCCAAGGTATTATTATGGGCTGGTATTGTGCGCAGCAGGATTGTCGGGCCGTATTTTTTCAATGGAAACGTAACAGGTAAGAACAATCTTGCTTATTAAATTGTTTAAGGGGCTTCATACTTGCAAATGTTATAAGATGATGTGATGCTTGCCATCAGGCGTATAGAAACTGAAGTTGATACTACAGCTTGCTTCCAACATGATGGTGCACCACCAATGCTCTGGTGGTGGGAAGTTTCCTCGACTCGGAATTTAACTGCAGATGGATTGGCTGAGGAGGACCAAAGGAATGGCCTCCAAGGTCACCTGATCTGTCCCCCATGAGTTTCTTTCTGTGGGATATCTGAAGCAAATGGTTTATTCACGAAAACCGAGAACTATCGAGAAACTTAAACAGACCATTGTGGCGCAATGCGAAAGTATTCCAACTGCTACCATTCTGAAGGTGGAAGAAAACTATCTTCACCGGATTTCGCCATACAGGCAGCAGAATGGAAAACATGTGGAACATTTTTATGACATGAATATAATTATTCCCGTAATATTTGTTCTTTCTTTCTTTCGGAATTCTATCTCCGAGGTAGTAACAGCTGTGAGTCTCAGGCAGGCCCAGTGAACTTCGACTGTGTAGCATGGGTGCGATCAGCACTCGGATGGACTGGACGTGACAACAAGAGCATTACAAAAAGTACAAGCCGGGAATCAGACAGTCTCGTGTTGGGGTGAGAGTTTAAGCGCCGCAGATCGCGGAATATGATCCAATCAGATTGCATTAGGGGTCAGAGGGAAGTTACCTGCTTAAGGTCACGGGTGAGAGGGACGAGACGATGGAAAACGATGGAGCAATTGCACTGTATATACATACGTATATTTTATAAATAGTATGTGAATGACTGGACAAAATTTCCCTGGAGGCACACGACCAATCTCGCGGTTCTTGCCGCTCGTCAGGCATGCGTATATTGTCAGTTCATTCGTAAACTTGTACCCAGGAAGCATTTTCGTCACAATAATATATATATATATATACCATCATCACAAATTGTACGAAAACAGAGTCGCGAATAATATCGTTTGCGGTGATTCCTCTACAGGCTTATACATCACAATTTATATCAAACTGTTTATTAGGAGGAAAAG